TTTAGCCAGACTTCCCAAGAAATAAAGGAGGACCCATGTCAATAAAACCAGAAATGAAAAAGGAGAAGTTATTACTGTCACAGAAATACAAAGGATCATAAGAGATTACTATGAAGAATTATATACCAATAAAATGGACAACCTAGAAGAAATGGATAAATTCCTGGAAATGTACCATCTCCAAGACTGAATCAGGAAGAAATACAAAATATGAACAGACCAATTTCCAGGAATGAAACTGAACCAATTAAAAAAAAAGAATGAAAAAAAAAACTGCATTTTTTTTTTTTTTTTGCAATACGCGGGTCTCTCACCGTTGTGGCTCAGCAGCCGTGGCTCACGGGGCCAGCCGCTCCATGGCATGTGGGATCTTCCCAGACCGGGGCACGAACCCATGTCCCCTGCATCGGCAGGCAGACTCTCAACCAGTGCGCCACCAGGGAAGCCCCCAGTTGTCTTCTTGACTTGACTGTGCCTGGCTCAGCTTTCCCCAGGAGTTCAGTGTGAGCCTCCACATAGAGACCAGGCCTGCAGACCATGGACTTCTGGGTGCTGTTGACCTCATGTCTCCTTGGGAGGAGTGGAGTGTCCTGGACACCCCACCCCTATGAGTCAGGAGAGCCAAGCTCCACTCAGACTCATTTTCCATGATCTTGGCACCTTCCCTCTCTGGGCCTCAGTTTCCTTATATGAAAAAGGGGGTGATAACCCTGCCCTTGATATTGGAAGTAAAGGACGTGTAGGCTGAGCAATGCTGGGCAAAGGTGTGGGCGGGGGGTTACTATTGAAATAGATACTGAATGGGGACCTGGGTGGGGGATTCTAACCGCAGATCTTTGGACCCACGAGCTCTATGAGACCTCCCATCCACTAGGTGATACAAATACCCCCCACACACATTTACCCACAGTGATGCCAAGGCTTAAAGGGGAAAAGTCATCTGCCCAGAGGCGAACAGCGGTCCCACTCTGGCCTCTGCAGATGGGCTTGAGAGGTTAAAAAAGCCCCCCGGGTTATGTGCAAAAGGACACATCTGCTTCTGGAGAGGAAAGGTCTTCTGAGCCACAGCTCTCCCAGAAGCTGCCCATCTTCCTGAAGCTGGCAGTGCCGCAGGGCCTGAGGAAGTGAGGCTCACACGAGCGTTATTTCCTTTGTGGGAAGCTCTGCCATGACAGGCATCTTTCCGGGGGCATGGTCTCTAAGACCTGGTGCTGGATTGAGGAGAGGGTGTCATCGGGCCACAGTGGTCCCCAAATCTGCCAGAGGACATCTACAGGGCATGTGGTTCTCATCTCTGGCCGGGGTGTTGGTCAGGGGAGGGAGGGGTGCAGGCAGCGTGAGAAGGGGAAGCTGCCAGAAGAGGAACCCACTTTTACTAGTGCTACTGGGGCCCGCCCACCTGTGTCTCCTAACCGCGGTCTGGAGCTCAGACCACGCATGCGCCATAGACCCACAGCATCAGCTCCCCCACCTCCAGGGCTCCTGGCTCCTAGGCACCCCTCTTGTCCGTGATTCCTGTCTTAGTGACTTCTTTGCGCCCCACTTTTCCTACTGTTCCCATCTCAGGCTGGCAAGGGGACCACAGCTCCCCACCTCCCGGGGCAACTCCAGCCAGTCCTGTGATGCCCCACCCCAAAGCCCAGATAGCTCTGTCTCTGGTTGGTGTCTTAACATCCCACCTCACCCCCACCTCCCCTCTCTCTGCCCAGGAAACTTCAGACTTCACCGCAGCTTCCTGCCTCTGAGGGTGTCTGGGCAGGCAGATGAGCTGCTAGGGCAATGGGTGCTCACAGCGCCCGCCCCCTTCACCTTTGCGCACTGAGATCTCCGTCACACCTCCACCCACCCTCCGGCCGCAGTGGTGTCTGTAGCTGCTTCTGCAGGACGCAGACAAGTAGCCAGGCTCTCCTCCCACACGGACCCCTGTGGCTGAGGTCCTGGGTGTGGAGAAATTCAGCCTCTTGGGGGGTCCACCCCATCCCACAGCTCTGAGCACCACTGGTTGCCTGGAAAGATGCTCCCCTGGCCCCCACCTCCCACCATAGGGTCTAGCCCATCAGGTTCTAGAACCTTCTACCACAACCTTTACTAGACTTGGGGCTTCCCTGGTGGCGCAGTGGTTAAGAATCTGCCTGCCAGTACAGGAGACACGGGTTCGAGCCCTGGTCCGGGAAGATCCCACATGCTGCGGAGCAACTAAGCTCGTGCACCATAACTACTGAGCCTGCACTCTAGAGCCCGTGAGCCACAACTACTGAGCCTGCGAGCCACAAGTACTGAAGCCTGCACGCCTAGAGCCCGTGCTCCACAACAGGAAAAGCCACCGCAGTGAGAAGCCCACGCACCGCAACGAAGAGTTCCCCTGCTCGCAGCAACTAGAGAAAGCCCATGGGCAGCAACGAAGACCCAACGCAGCCATAAATAATAAATAAATAAATAAACAGATAGATAAGTAAATAAATAAAACCACCGTTACTCATCTCTACCTGGGCCACTCCCTTCACCCTGTCTCTATCTTTTTCTAGTTGATCACCTGGCCATTCTTTCTGCCACTTTCTTCGGATATCTGTCCACTCCAGAAAGAGAGATGAATCTCATCACCTTTATCACAAAGGACCTTCTCCGGGGGTGTCTCTGCACCCAGGTTTCTTTTTCATTCATTCATTCCACGAGCCTCGCTCTAGGACAACCACCACGCTGGGCACTGGCGTGTGGAAGAGGAATGACCCAGGCTTTCCTTCATGCTCCTCCTGACAGTGGGGCTTCCCAAGTCACAGCGGGACACCCTTGAGGGAACAGCCACGTCTCTTCCCCCCAGAATAGCCCTCTCTTCCCCCCAGAATAGCCCTCCTGGGCCATCCTGCGGACTGTGAGGCCAGTCTACTCCCCCAGGGATGCCACTGAGAGGTTCAAACCCCAGCTCTGCTTTTCTGCAGCCTGGAACAGTCCTGCCGGGAATGCAGGGGGTTGGGGGCCAGCACAGAGCTCTGCAGGCAGTGGGTTCAAAAGAATAGGCTTGGGCTGGGGCCTGGGCCTGAATGGCAGGAGGTTAAAAAATCACAATGACAGTGAGCCCTTCGCAAAAGCCAGGCCCTGCACTAAGTGCTGCATGTCACATGAATTTGATGTAACCCTCACAACTATTTTAGCCTTGATTACAGAGAAGGAAACTGAGGCCTAGGTGTCCCCACTGACACGCAGCCAGGGGAGCCAGCATCAAAGCCCAGGTCTGACTCCAAAGCATGTGGCAGGAAGTTGTGGACAGGTAATCATTGCCCTGAGTGGTCACTGCTTCTGATGATTTGGGAAGGAGCTCTCCCCATCCCTCCCACAGTAGCTCTTAGTGAAAATCATTCCTTATACCAAGTAGAAGCTTTCCAGAACCTCTACAGGACAATCTACGCTTATAAGTTCTTTGAGCATCTTTCTCTGGGTGAGGCCAGAAAGACCAGAAGTGATCCTTACTCTGGGTCCGATGAGGGAGGCTGCGGTGAAGCCCTGAGGGCAGAGGAAGGAAGAGACAGTGAAATCTTCCCTCTGACTCTCCCTGCCCCACCAGCACTCCACCCACAAAGTGGGGTTAGTGAACCTGCCCCTACCTGGGTCCCGGACAGGAAACATGTGAAACTAAAAGTGTCCCAGACACACCACGATTTTTACTGCTCTTGTGGCCACGCCCTTGGGAATTCCTCAGACGCCTTTGGCTTTCCCAGTTCAAGCGGTTGGAGGCATGGCCCTGTTCTGGGGGCAGCCCTGCAGGGCCCTCATCCAACAAGAGAGGGCCCTTAGAGGCCACTATAGGGGCGACACACCCATATGGCAAAGTCAGGAATAAAGGAGGGGCCTGGGGCTGGGAGAGGCCCTTTCCTGAACCTCTCCAGGGTGGAATGAGAGATGTTACTGGCAGCGTTATGGAGCAGTGGGCAGGAGGGGGTGGTCCTGGATTTTGGCCCTATCCAAGACCAGCTGGAAGACTTCACCTCATACATACAAGGCTTGGCCGACAGGGGAAGGGACACCTGATGACATAGTTCCCTGCAAATTACTAAACACTGAGTCACAGAGGCTGGATGAGGCCCCAGCTGGGATCCTGACCTTTGCTCCCCAAAGTTGATTCAGCCCAGAGGGGAGTCAGGGCAGGATGGAAGCTCCCCAAGGGTACCAGTACCAGCAGTGTTACCCAAGTCCTCCCGTTGGCTGTGCTCCTCTGCCCATCCCCCAGCAATAGGAACGCTGATGACTGTGACACCATTAGCATAAATACACTTGCCTTAGGAGCTGCAGGTGGCAGAGAGAACCTTACTTTGGACCTACATTCCCAAGAGCTCTGTTCCTTCTTCAGTGCCAGGAAGAAACAGAACTGTAGCCACAGAATCCTAGAACTACAGGCTCAAAATTATAGACCATAGAATTCGGAGTCATGCACCATAGTCCATGGAATTCCAGAAACATGGGACTCAGAATGTGTAGCCCCAGGGCCCTAGAGCCTCAGGACTGTTGGCCACAGAATCCTGGAGGCACAGGCTCTGATCTGTAGCCCAAAGTATTCTAGAACATAGGACCCAGAAATGCAGCCCACTGAACCCTAGCACCAGGGGACTCAAATCTGCAGCCCACGGAATCCTAAGAGACCACAGCATGTAACACGAAATCCTGGAACCATGATAAGCAGAAGCAAAGCCCACGGTTTTCTAGAACCATAGGAGAGGAAGGAACCTGTGAGCCCTCAGAACATCAGCGCTAAGAGGGTGGCTCAGGAACTCACCTCTTCCAAATACCCTCCTTTTACAGATGGGGCGACTCTGTCGGCCTCCAGCACCACCCAGTCAGGCGGTGGTCAACCGGTTCCCAGCCAGCGACCCTCCGCGGCCTCCAGGAGTGACGGGATGTCGGGGCCCCGGGAGAGGCAGAAGGGCGGGCGGGGATGCCCGGCGGGGGATGCCCCTCAGGGGAAACGCTCCTGGCGGACCCTAGGACCCTCGCCGCGCAGACGCACTCACCGGCGGTGTCGTATAAGTTCAGGGTCACCTCCTTGCTGCCCACGGTCACGCTGGCCGTGTACTTCTCGAACACGGATGGGGCGTAGTGCTGTCGGAGAACGGGCAGGGTTGGTTCTTAAGGGGTGCGGCGGGGACCCAAGGTCCGACTGGATCCCCACCCCCACCTTCACCCCATCCGGCTCAGCCCCCCTCACTCTGCTGGGCTCTGGAATTCCCGAGGGGGCGCCCCGGGGTGACGGCCGCCTCTCCGTGCGCAGGACGCCAGGGACCTGGGGTCCGGGCTCGGGGCGCAGGCTGAGGTCCGTCCCTCACCCCCAGTGGTACCAAGCCCGTCTCCCCCGCCCCCAGACTGCCTCCAGCCCCCCGGCGGGCCTCACCTCGGGGAAGGACCCCTGGCTGTACACCATGAGCAGTGAAGTCTTGCCGCAGCCGCCGTCGCCTACAATCACGATTTTCAGCTCCTTCTTGCCCGGGCCCGGGGCCGCAGTCGGGGCTGGGGCCCCAGGGTTGTCCATAGCCGGGAGCAGGCAGCACTAGCGGAGGCGCCCTGAGAGCACTACGGTTGAGCGATCCGGGGCGGGTGGGGCGCGAGCTGGCCCCTAGGGCGGGGCTAAGAGAAGCCCCGCCCTCGGAACCGGCACCGCCTCCGCCAGGCAGCCAGCCGGGTCGACCTCCCAGACTATTTCCTGCCTGCTAGGCTCTCGGCCCAGAGTCTTCACCTCTCATTCCCAGGGAAACTGAGGCAACTGAGAAACGGAGTGCTCAGTGGCAAGCGCAGCTCCCATCTCTCCTGCGAGTCACGGCGCCCCGGACACCCCAACCAGCAAGATCTGATAGTTTCCGCCCCTTCCCGCCTGGCACCCTTGATTGGCAGTCTCTGTCTTCGGGCAGGGACCCTCTGATTGGCCGACTCGGCCTCCTCCATGGGGCAGGGTCTCTTTGATTGGCGGACTGCCCCCCAGCCCTCGGGTTCGAGGAGCCTTGGTCTCAAGCTCTGGGAAAAGCCCCCCAGCTTTCGCCCCGCCCCAACTATGTGGCCTCGGGCAAGTCCACTCTGACCTGTTTCCCCCCAGAAGGTAGCGTCTGTGGTTCCAAGAAAGATCCCGGCATGGGGGTCCTGTCTGCCCACGTGGTCTGGCCCTATGGGAGTGAGCCTGTGTGTGGGTTGGGGAATAGCGGTTCCGCTTACCTATCACCCCACCTCTCAAAGGTGGAGGTCTGGCGCCCTCTGCCGGGCGATGGCCTCGGCGCGGCGACTTTGGGAACAGGTGAGTGGCCCCAGAACCCTTTCGAGGGTTGGCCCCAAACCAAGCAGGCGGGAACCTCTTTCTAGCAAGGCCCAGAGGCGTGGGAACCAAGCAAGATGCCATCGAGAAGGGGAAGGGGGAGGTCAGGGTAAATCTAGTTGAGATCAGCTGGGCCCCCTTCTGTCCACTTTGGAGACTGATAACCCTGCTCCCACCAAGAAATTTGTGTTCTCCAGCCAGCAGCCACATATCCTTCATCCCAAGCTTTCTCCTCAACCCCCGCACCCAAACTGCTATTTACTGAGCATTCACTCTGGCCAGGTACTATCAGAGCGTCTGGGCGAAATCACACCCGCCTCCCAACCCTTCCCTCCCTTGGACTGTCTTTTGCACAAACCAGGCCAGTGGTCAGGAGTGGCAGAGGGACCCCCAGGATCAGGCATGTACCAGGCAGGCACTGGGACATGGCTAGGTGAGAGAGCAGGATCTTTCCCAGCTGGGGTAGGACATCTGACAGTTTCCTCAGAGAAGGGCTGGCAGGATTCAGGATCTTCTTGCCCTCACCCCACCCAGAAGATTCCCCATTTTCAGGTACTCAGCAAGGATCAGGTAAACTTTACTTCGGAAAGGAAATCGTCAACCTGGCACCATAAATGCCAGATCAACGTTTTTCAGAGACTGCAAGGCATAATCTGACCACCAGATGGCAGCAGAGACCGCCCCTGGAAGCCCCCAAAGAGCCCAGAGCTGGGAAGAGAAGACCCAGCTCCAGGTTCTTAAGCGGAAAGCCCTATGGTCACCGGGCCAGAGGGCATCTGCTGGGTCAAGCACCCCTAGACAAATTTACAGCAATTCATTCATTCCTTCTTTGCAGCACACGTTTATTGAGAGGCAATTGTGTTCCTGCCTTTGAGGAACTCAGTCCTGGGGGAAGCATTCTAAAGGAGTCTGCGAGAGAACAATTCAGACACCGGAGCCCCCGTGGGGTTCAGAAAAAGTTGAGAGCTGGGCAACACATGAACTAAGCTTGGCAGTGCTGGCAGGAAGGGCCAGTGGAAGTAGGATGGGTACCAAGCCTGAGTAAATGCATGGTGGCTGGAAACCCCATCAGGTTTGGCAGTGCCTGGGGCATGAGGAGGGAGGCCAGACATGGTTGTCAAGGTGATGAGGGTTAGATCACAGGGGCCTGGCTACCAGGCTCAAGATGGGTGTCAGACAGAGGCTCTGAACAGGAGAGGAGCCCAGCCAAAGCTCTTTCCGGTGACCAGGGGGGAGCTGTGATTGGCTGGTGAGGACAGAGCTGGGGCCATCTCTACACAGTGGCAGCCTGTGGCTGGCAGGAGAGGAGGGGGAGGAAGCCATCACTCAGGGAGAGGGAGGATGGAAGAGGGCTTTGAGGGAGGGGAGGACCACTTACCTTTGAGCCAGGCACAGGCCTGACCTCACATCAGACACCCTGAAGCTCAGGGAGTGACTGGGAGAGTAAGACTACCTCATCTGGGAAGGGCCTTGAGAGAACTCACTTAAGAGTTTGCCCATTCTGAGCAAACTGTGGGAACTGCTCCAGCCCGTAGGGAGAGGGCACTTGACTTTTCCTCAAAATCCTCAGACCTCGGTTTCCACCTTTTCTAACTATTGGATTTCAACTTATAACAGAAAAAATGACTTACACGAAAGCAGGTCTTCCCAGGCCGGCCCAGGTCCAGGCGAGACAGCTGACACTGGCCCCAGCCTGCCCACCCACCCCTGCCTGGCTGAGAGGCTGGCACAGAGCCCCAGCCCCACCCGGCCTGGAGCGTGTTTGATTTGGACCTGGCTCCAGTGGTGGTGTAGGGGCTGGATCTGTAGCTAAAAATACCCAGCAGCCAGGCCAGCTGCTCGGAGCTTCCTTGGAGATGCTGGGCCAGGGCAGGCCAGCTGAGGCACTGGGAACACCCACAGGCCCGGGGAGCCCTACTCCCTTACCTGCAAAATGTTCCGAGGACCCATGCCATTCTTCTATTCACCAGGAATTCCTGGAGAGATTTAGGAGGGTAAGAAAAAATTCTTTAAACTGGTTCTTGCCACAAAGTTGTTGAGACACAGAAGCCTAGGGGAGCTGGCAGGTGGCATTTGCAGGGGTGAACTGATCTGTGTTCACATCTAGGCCTGGGATCTAGTGAGGCCAACTGACCACAAGAGAGAAGTAGGGCCAGATCCACTTCTGTCTTGTCAGGGCAAGGTCTGGCCAGCACAGGTCAGGATGGGGACGTTAACGACAACGCTAATGGCTTCCACTTCCCTGGTGCCTCAGCATACTCTGGGAGGTCACTACACACCTGAGGGGTCACCCACCCAACGTGAGACAGAAGTAACTGACCATCCTCTGGGGTCCCAGGGATGGGAGGTGGCCCAGTGCAGCCTGGGGGATTAAGGCTGTCTATCCCTGTCCCAGGACTCTCTCCAGGCTCAACATCCGGTGGTGGGCTCAGGGGACTCACCACCAGAGTACAAAGAGCTACCTCCACAAAGCCAGACTCAGAGACAGGTCAAAGGTTATCTGCCAACCTCCTCCTCCTAGTTCACAGGGGAGACCACGACTCCTAGAGGGGTAGGAACTCATCGAGGTCACTGGCCAGATGGAGACAGCACTGGACCCAGGTGGCCTCTGAGATGGCGCGGTGCCCATCTCCACAGTCCAGGCAAAGGTTCAGTTTCCACCCAGGGGGTCCAAAAGGTCGAACTCCACGCCTCGGCTCTCGGCCAACGGGCCGGAAGGGGCGGGCCCCTGGCGTCCAGTAGGAAGGCAGGTCCGGCCACCTCCGGCCGCCCTTCCGCTGGCGTGGCCCTCTCCAGGCAGGCTCCACCGGCTGGGCGCCAGGAGCAGCCCCGCCCCGAGCTTGCTGGGTGACCGGTGGGTGGAGCCACGCTCTCGCCAGAGGAACCAGTCTGAGAACTGATAGGCTGCGCCGCCCCTCCCTTCACCTAGGAGGTATTGGCGTGCCAGACAAAGAAATTAGAAAGAGGGGGTGAAAAAAGGAAGCGGGGAGGGGTGCGATCCTTCCAGGTCATCGGGACCCCTTCTCCCTTCCAAGAATCACACCCGGACCACAGTGGAGCGCCTCGTTGTTCCCTAATTGGTCCGCGGGCGGGAGTGGAGGAACTGGCTGTAACCCTCCAAGCTGCTGCTGGGAGGGAAAAGGTTTAAATCAATTATTTAACTATCCAACGCCCACGGGAGGTAAAGACCCCAGCCCCGTGGAGCCCCAAGGACTCCAACAGAAGGGATGCAGGACACCCTCAGGGGGGCAGAAAGTTCACCTGAGAATCCAGGGAGTTGAATGAACTCATCAATGGCAGAGCCGAATTTAAACCTCCGGATTGGGGCAGACTGTGGAAGGAGGGGAAGGCTCCTAAGATACTAATAATGTGAGCCTCGCCAACTTTTACAAAGTGCTCACCCTGGGTAGGGGGAAGGGGAGTCTGGTGTCAGGTGTGGTCGGCTGCACCCCTTGCCCTCCAGCAAAAGACAGCATGGACCAAATCCAGCTTATCTGGAGACCCTCATGACGCCAAGGCATGGCAGCCAGAAAGACCTAAGAGTACCACGCTGGTTACTTTCAACCAAATAGCTTTCCCAGCTCCCAGGCAGTGACGCCAGCAGACAGGGCAGGAGCCCAGAATAACCCAGCAGCTGGGACGAAGGGGTGCCATGCACACAGGTGCTGGGCTGGAAGACACCTGGAATCTCATCCTGACAGCCGGTGGTGACCTCCTGACCTTGGGTGAGTCACGTTACTCTCCGGGTGGGGGGAACCCCCCAAACCATGACCCATCATGGAACAACAACCTGTGGACTTGAGGAAAGGCCACCAGCCCAACTCACACACTGGAGTAAAAATGGAGCTGGCTCCCAGCCTGCAGAATGCCAGCCTTCCCCTTTGCCCTGAGGCTGTGCCACGTGCTACGAGGTGGGCTGGTAGGGGAGGAGCTCTCAGACAGCCCAGCCCCACCCCCCGCAGCCACCTCCGAACGGGGGCCAACTGGTGTGAAGCCTGTGAGGCCGGCCCCCTTAATCGCACTTAATCCGCCCTCCACCCTTTAAGGCAGGCTTCATTATCATCACTTTACACAGGAGACTCGCCCAAGGTCAACCAGCACAGGGGAGAGTCAAACCCACAGCTGCCAGCCTTAGAGCCTCCCTCGATTAAGCACCAACACGCCCCCAACAAAACCTCTGGGGCAAGCCCTACGGCTCCCCCAGTCCTCACTCCAGCCCCCAAGCTGAGGGATGGGATAAAAGTGAGCAGAGCCTATC